TTGCACGTTGCCAACTTGCCAGCTACTTTTCTTCACAAACCTCTTGATTCATCTCTCTCTCTCTCTCTCGCTCTATATATATCATTCTCAAGCTTTGTTGCGAATCAGACAAACATCTCTCCCACTACATATATCCTCAAGTTCATATCATTCAAAGCATAGATTGGCTCATTTTCTCACAAGACAATGCTAATGAAGATCTCATTTGTAGTTCTTTGCCTTCTTGTTCCCATTGTCACAGCCCAACTTCGAGTTGGCTTCTACAGCTCTACCTGCCCACATGCCGAACAAATTGTTCGACAAACGGTGCAGAAGCGGTTCCGCACTGACCGCTCAATAACCCCGGCCTTGCTTCGTATGCACTTCCATGACTGCTTTGTTAAGGTAACAGTTTTTGTATGACTTATGTAAGGCTCTAAGTAACAGTATTTAGAGATGAATCCATGCCTGTCCCAGTATCACAATATTTAGAGTATCATGTCATAGATATTAGGAACTCTCAAATTCTATCTTGAATTTTATAAAATTGTCAACTAAGAAAAAGAATTTTATAACATCTGAATATAGTGTACCTTGGCTATGAACCAATGCATATAGTAACGTGGTCAATACACATTGATTTTTATTCTTACCGGTGAACCGGGATGCATTGATATTGAGAGGCCCAGAACCCAAAACGTATTAGTCGACATTGATTAAAAACAAATAATATTATACAAACAGAAATTTAATACATAATGATGTAGCAAGTTTTGATTATGGAATAATGTATACAAACAAAATTATTGTATAGGATTTTTATATAGAATGATTTGGCTTTTTGTGTTCATTTCATTTGCAATCAAAACATTCACCATTCTATAGTGTATTTTATAAATATCATAGTCACATTATCCTTATATATATAAATTGAAAATACTACATAAAATTTTATTTTTTACCTCATTTTTCCATTTTTCCGAACCAAAGATGCAAATGAATGGGTTTCATATATATTTATAAATGTAGGTTCCATTTGTTTGTACCAAAGAGGAAAAAACAAGTAATAAATAGAATTATGCATAGCATTGCTGATTAAAAAAAAAATAAAATTATAAGCATATCATTTTTCATAATTTTATTACTTTTAATATCACTATCCTATCATTCTTGCCATAAATTCCACAATCATATAATATTCTATTAGTCATTTAGCAAGATTACAAGCTAAAATTCTTTTAGCTGGTGAAATTCTTTACAGGGTTGTGATGCATCCATACTCATAGACTCAACACAAACCACACAATCGGAAAAAGATGCTTTTCCGAACCAGTCTGTCCGCGGATTCGATCTCATCGACGAGGCCAAGTCAAACCTTGAGGCTGCTTGCCCCAGAACAGTCTCCTGCGCCGACATCAAAGCTTCCATTGTTGTTTTCCAATAAAATATTTGATCCAACAAGGTTTTTTTTTTCACCCAATTGCAGTGGTGATCAAATATATATATATATATATATTTCAATTTCCTTCTCTTTTCTATTTATTTGATGTGTTGCTATATCGCTTATCTTTCATCTATTATATCAATATATAAAATCTCACATCACCTCAATAATAGGTGAATTTCATTTGATATTTGTACTCTCTCTGTAATATATTTCTTTTGGCGAATTGATCTCTGAAATTTCAACTGTATCAATTTTTGTTATTAATTTAGTTTAATTGATAATATACGTTAAGAAATTGATAAAAATCAAGTGTAAATTAGTAAATTAAAAAATGAGTGAACCATTTCAATTGAATGTCTATAACACTCATATATTTATATATATAGATTAGGATCTTCTCCAATAATCCCTCTTACAATAATATTACAATAATCATTTATATATATATATATATATATATTCTACATTATGGTATTAGGAAATGATTGTAACACAGCTGACAAAAATTTGATCCTACCAATTCCTTTCAATATTTTGACTCATTCATTACATTAGAAAGTAGAGAAACAAAAATATCCAAGATATTGTTGTCCAATATACATGTTCTCTTTGGGAGTAAGCTTTGACCTTGCACGTTGCCAACTTGCCAGCTGCTTCTCTTCACAAACCTCTTGATTCATCTCTCTCTCTCTCTCTCGCTCTATATATATCATTCTCAAGCTTTGTTGCGAATCAGACAAACATCTCTCCCACTACATATATCCTCAAGTTCATATCATTCAAAGCATAGATTGGCTCATTTTCTCACAAGACAATGCTAATGAAGATCTCATTTGTAGTTCTTTGCCTTCTTGTTCCCATTGTCACAGCCCAACTTCGAGTTGGCTTCTACAGCTCTACCTGCCCACATGCCGAACAAATTGTTCGACAAACGGTGCAGAAGCGGTTCCGCACTGACCGCTCAATAACCCCGGCCTTGCTTCGTATGCACTTCCATGACTGCTTTGTTAAGGTAACAGTTTTTGTATGACTTATGTAAGGCTCTAAGTAACAGTATTTAGAGATGAATCCATGCCTGTCCCAGTATCACAATATTTAGAGTATCATGTCATAGATATTAGGAACTCTCAAATTCTATCTTGAATTTTATAAAATTGTCAACTAAGAAAAAGAATTTTATAACATCTGAATATAGTGTACCTTGGCTATGAACCAATGCTGGTCAATACACATTGATTTTTATTCTTACCGGTGAACCGGGATGCATTGATATTGAGAGGCCCAGAACCCAAAACGTATTAGTCGACATTGATTAAAAACAAATAATATTATACAAACAGAAATTTAATACATAATGATGTAGCAAGTTTTGATTATGGAATAATGTATACAAACAAAATTATTGTATAGGATTTTTATATAGAATGATTTGGCTTTTTGTGTTCATTTCATTTGCAATCAAAACATTCACCATTCTATAGTGTATTTTATAAATATCATAGTCACATTATCCTTATATATATAAATTGAAAATACTACATAAAATTTTATTTTTTACCTCATTTTTCCATTTTTCCGAACCAAAGATGCAAATGAATGGGTTTCATATATATTTATAAATGTAGGTTCCATTTGTTTGTACCAAAGAGGAAAAAACAAGTAATAAATAGAATTATGCATAGCATTGCTGATTAAAAAAAAAATAAAATTATAAGCATATCATTTTTCATAATTTTATTACTTTTAATATCACTATCCTATCATTCTTGCCATAAATTCCACAATCATATAATATTCTATTAGTCATTTAGCAAGATTACAAGCTAAAATTCTTTTAGCTGGTGAAATTCTTTACAGGGTTGTGATGCATCCATACTCATAGACTCAACACAAACCACACAATCGGAAAAAGATGCTTTTCCGAACCAGTCTGTCCGCGGATTCGATCTCATCGACGAGGCCAAGTCAAACCTTGAGGCTGCTTGCCCCAGAACAGTCTCCTGCGCCGACATCATAACCCTGGCAACTCGAGACTCAGTGGCCCTAGCAGGTGGGCCCAACTATGAAGTCCCAACAGGCAGACGCGACGGTTTGGTCTCTGACCCAAACCTCGTGAACTTGCCAGGGCCATCCCTTTCTGTCTCACAAGCACTTCAATTCTTTACAGCCAAAAAACTCAATCTCCATGACATGGTCACCCTTTTGGGTGCACACACTGTTGGTGTTGCTCACTGTGGTTTTTTCCAAGACCGGTTATCAAACTTCCGAGGATCAGGGAAACCTGATCCGACAATGGACCCGACCTTGGTTTCTAAGTTGTTCAAGCTTTGTGGGACCCAATCAAGGCCATTGAGTCAAGACCCAACTGCATTTTTGGATCAAAACACATCTTTTGTATTCGATAATGAGTACTACCATCAAATTAAGTTAAAGAGGGGTGTGATGCAGATTGATCAAGAGCTTGCTTTAGATAAAGCTAGTGCTCCAATTGTGTCTGGTTTTGCGAGTAATGGGATTGGATTCCAACAGGGTTTCGCGAAGGCGATTGTGAAGATGGGGGGAATTCAAGTTCTTGTTGGACATGCTGGAGAAATTAGAAAAAATTGTAGAGTTTTCAATTCAGCAAAGCAATAGAAATACAGGTCCAGGGTCTTGTAGGGATTACCTCCTTCTTTTTTTGTTGTGTGTTCCAAACATCAATGGTTTAGTTTCCAAATTATCGACATTTAGGTTCCTATATTGTAGTTTGTTTCTTCTAAGTCCTAAAGGATTTATATGTGAGGGTGTCTATGGTGTATTCAATTGAATTGATGAACTGTAAACTTTTCATAATTATCTAACGATTAAATGTTCTTTGTTTATTTGTTTGTTTCATTTGTTTTATAAAGATATGTGTTGATAAATGAGTGCAGATTCACACTTCTATATTTCGTTATTTCAGGGTATCTATATTTGTTAGCAGGCACATTCTATGTTATTGTTAATATAATATTGTTAATTGTATAGCTTTCTTGCTAATTGTATAGCTGTCTCTTTTCCTTTCTGCTTTCGGTGGTAATGGATCATCATTTGGTATCCAATGTACATTGGAGTCCTGTGCTAAGAAAGCAAGGGGGAAGGATGGATCATGGAAGCAAAGCAGAAAGAATTTTCACCATTTTTGTGAATAATCTTCTGGAGAACATGAACCCAAAAGGTCTCTTTATGTTGTTTACAAAGTTTGGGATAGTCAAAGATGTATTCATCCTAATGAAGAAGAGGAAACTAACAGGGTCAAGATTCAAATTGGTTAGGTATAGATGCCTAGTATCTGCGGAGGTGGAGTTCAAAAAGCAAATGGGATCTAGATGGAGAATAAAGAACAGAAAGTGAAAAAAACAAAATTTGAAAAGGCGAGTCAGAAGATAGAGTTAGAAGGAAAGTCAGGTATGCAATCCAATGAAGCTAGAATATGTAAGGAAAATCATCCATTGAAGTCAGTGGCAGAAGGGACATCGTTTGCCAATATAGTAAAGTACGAGGAGGATCAAAGGAAAAATGACGTGATTACACAAGCTAAAGAAGTTCGGAATGGTTGGTTGTATGAAAGTTTGATCGTTAAACTTAAGTCTTTTTTCTCATTTGAAGATTTTAAGAAGGAATTCCAGAAGAGAGATTGGAAGGATGTGCAAGTCAGAGCAAGGGGGGGAAGACTAGCTGTGCTATCCTTCACAAATGTGCAAGATATGAGGGAGAGAAAAACTAGACTGAAGGATTGGATTTATGAATGGTGTGATCCCATGATGGAATGGAAACCAGGATTTCATGTTCAACAAGAAAGATGTATCTGGATTAGCTACTTCGGTGTTCCATTTAATCTATTGAATACAAAGACTTTCAGAGATATTGGATCAATTTGGGGAGAGGTAATTCAATTCGATAATGTTACATTAAGTGGAGAGTCCTTTCATTGTGGAAAGATAAGAATTATAATGAGGTGTATATGGAGATTATAAATAAAGTGATTGTATTGAGGTGCAATGGTGCTTCATACCCTGTTAGAGTTTGCAAAAATGCTGATTTATCATCATGTTCGGAGGTGGTTTGCTACAAGTGTAAAGGTTTAAAGCATAATGGAGCATCTCTTAAATCTAGTGAAAGTGGAAATCTGGTTATCAGCAGGGCAGGGATGAAAGTTTTGGAAGATGATGAACATTCATCAATGGCCAAAAAGACAAGTAATGATGATTTGGCTATACACAATAACAAATCTGGGTGTCATAAAGATAAGCAAGTGGTTGAGGATGGGGAAGCAGATTGGGAATCTGGAGTAAAAGAAACTGACATTAGTATAGGTAATGTAAAAGGTGGCGTTTTGCATGGAGAAAAGTCAAGCGTGCAAGAGGAGCAGCAATGTAGGAGAGAGAAGAATGATGTTCTCAATGAAGTAGGAGGAAGCATCCAAACGGTAGGATTAATTAGAAGTCTTAGTGGGTTTGAAGGCAATAGGCCATGTATTAATTTGGAAGTGGTTTTGGGGAAGGCCCAGGAAGGTGTATTAGTATGTGAGCCAATAATTAATAAACCTATCTATTCAGCCCAAGACCAGTTGCATAATGTAAATCTATGTGGAAACCCATCTTCTTCTAATTCAAAGATTATCATGACTAAAGAAAGGAATATCAGAAAGAAGCATAGTTCTAAATATCGGCCGATACGCTACGTATCGGCCGATACGTATCGGAAAAATGGGGTGCCGCGACGGATACAGGCCGATATACCACTGAGATTAAAAATCGCACGAGTATCGGCCGAGTCCCGGTACGTATCGGCCTGTAAGCGTTACACAAGCTGTTACACAAGCCGCGACAGGCCGATACTCACCGGTTCAGACCGGTACGGGAAAGAAAAAGTTGAAAAACCTTTAAAATGATTTTTAAAATTTCACCACCGCGACACCCGATTCCCGATACGTACCGATCGATACTACCGATACCGATACTCCGCGATCGATACCGTTACGTTACCCGATACCGCGATTTAGAACCTTGGAAAGAAGAGTAGATTTGTGAGGAAGAGTATAGATAGAAGGAGAAACAACCAATTTCACATCCCTACTCGAAGTAGTTTTCAAAGGGGGGCATTTTTAAAGCAGCAGTAGTTGCAACTTCGGTGTCTCTATCCCAAATTAGCAAATCGAGTAGAAGAAGACAGATGAGAAAATAAGCTCACGTGACTTTATAGATTTGCAAAGATTTGGGGATCAACTATGAAGGGAAGGAGAAGGAAACGATTATCAAGATTTTGGAACTCGAAGAGCATGATTTCAAAAGGGCCATTATTAGAGATGAGGCTGATCAAGCTTAATGGTTAGGTTGAAGGTGATTTACTGGACCATTTTAAAGTACTAATGATTATTATGTCATGGAATATTAGAGGTCTGGGAAGACCTTAAAAAAGAAGGAGAATCAAAATTTTGGTGAGGAATATGAGGGTAGACTTCTTTTTAATTCAAGAAACTAAAAGAAGCTGCTTGGATGAGAGGATGATTAGATCAAATTGGCCTTAGGAAATGACGGATTTTATTGTAGTCGATGCTGAAATGCTGGGGGGTACTTTCTGTGTGGAATCCTGAGGTTTTCTCCATGAAGGATTGTTGTAGCAACAAAAATATCATCCTTCTTTTAGGTGTGTCTAATAAGCCGTTTGGTTGTTTCATTGTTAATATGTATGCGCCAAATGAGATTGCTAACAAGAGAAAATTATGGGACTCAACTGTTGGGCTTAAATCTGTATTCACCAATCCCTAGTGCATAAGGGCAGATTTTAATAAGATTAGGGGGATAAGGGACAGAAAGGGATGCTTATGGATGGATAAGGGTGTGTTAGACTTCAATGAATTTATTGAGAAAATGGAGATGACTGATATTCATATGCAAGATAGAAGTTATACTTGGAGTAATGCACAAGAGGGGGTGAGATGGAGTAGAATTGACAAGTTTTTGTTTGAACCATTATGGTTAGAAAAATTTGACTTTAAGCTATGTGGATTACCCAGGATTATCTTTGACCATTGTCCATTAGTAGTAACAGAAGATGCAAGGGATTGAGGCCCAAGACCATTCAGACTCATAAATACATGGGCTCTGCATCTGAATTTTGAACAAACAGCAGTAGCAGCATGGACTGAGGTCCAAGAGGAGAGGTGGGCTAGTTACAAACTGAGGTTAAAATTCGCAGCTTTGAAGCATAAATTAAAGAAGTAGAATCAGGAGGTCTTTGGGAATGTAGATCATCAATTGAAGCAAGCTGAGGAGATGCTACATGGTTTTGATTTAGAGGCAGAAAAAAGGGAATGAGAAATGTTAGGGATCATGAAAATTTTTTCATGAAAATGATCACGAAAAATTTGTGACCCTTAGATTACCTTGATTAGTGTGTGGTACTTTATTATAAGTGTAATCCAAAGGTCACAAATTTTTCATGACTATTTTCATGAAAGACTTTTTATGATACCTAGCATTGTTGAAAAGGGAATTAACTGAAACAAAAAAGGCAAGAAGGTGTGAAGCTAAGTTGTAACGCCCCCAAAATATCAAAAAAAAAAGAGATTAAATAGATAAACCCAACGTGCAATCTCACCCTAATAGACCAACTCATTCAATTTGACATTTCATTTCAGGGGGGAGATTTAACAAAAGAACACTACAAGAAAAATCACTTTTGGCGACTAAATTTTTAGTCGCCAAAAGTGATTTTTTAGTCCCCAAAAGTCGGGTTTTAGGTTTTCCCAACTAAATTTTTTAGTCGCCATGTTGGTCGCTGGAAAAACGTCGCGAAAGGTATTGGCGACTAACCCACTTTTAGTCGCCAAAAACAAACTCTGTAGCGACCACAAATTTCGTCGCCAATAGTAAATTATTTTTTTTTAATTTATACATTTCCCGACTATTTTTTTCGTCGCCAATACTAAAGCTTTTGGCGACCACCTCTTTTAGTCGCCAAAAGCATATTTAAAAAAAAAAAATGTTGAACCTATTCGCAAGTTTCGAACCTGAGACATCCCACCACCACACTCCAAACCTTTTGCAACACACTCCCTCCACTATGCCACAATAACATCACACAAATATATATACAATATATATTATTTATATAGTATATTAACTGCTATTAATACAAAATAATATATAGAAATATAATTTTTTTAATTCAATATACTTTATGTAAAAAATAAATTATTTACTAAAAAAAAATTTAGGCCACTTTTGGCGACTAAATTAAAATTTTAGTCGCCAATTCTATCATTTTTGGCTACTAATTATAATTTAGTTGCAAAAAAATTAAGTTTCGCCTAAAAATAAGTAGTTTTGGCGACCAAACCTGTTTTTAGTTGCCAAAAACGTCCCCTTTTGGCTACTAAACTGAATTTTAGTCGGTAATGGACTGTTTTTAGCTACTATTTTTTTTTTTGTAGCCAAAAAGCTTCACTTTCAGCGACTAAACTGTTTTTAGTCGGCAAAACACCAACAATCGGCGACTAATCTGTTTTTTAGTCGCCAAAACCATCACTTTTGGCTACTAAATTATTTTAGTCGCCAAAAACTGTCACTTTTGGCTACTAAACAACCTTTAGTCGCTAAAACCCCCACATTGGGCGACTAAACTGCCTTTTAGTCGCTAAAAGCCTTGTATTCGGCGACTAAACTCTTTTAGTCGGCAAAAGTCACCAATTTTGGCGACTAAATCCATTTTAGTCGCCATTTGTACTACTTTCAGCGACGAAAAAATTTATTTTAGTCGCAAAATCTGTATTTTCTTGTAGTGGAAATGTTCACATGCGATACACATTCATCCTCCTTCTAAAAGATAAATTCGTAACATGCGCA